GCCGAAACGTTGTGTTCTCTTTCTTCTTTTTTTCAGCATGGAATAAACCTATTACTTGTTCTTTTTTAAAAATAGTTTCACGAATGCTGAGCATTACATGTACTTGATGTACACTGACTTGAAACTCTAAACTCTTAATTACAAAAAATAGAAATATTTCAATAGAAAATGTATGTCACGGGCTTTATGTCCTAGAAATAATACGTCTTTTAAGGTTTTGGTTTTCTTTCAAGGTGTAGAAGTATTATTTTAAAACTGGGTGATTCCCTTTAATTGTTAAGGTTTTTGTTCAATAATAGATTATTGTCTTTCATGCATAAAGTTCCTCTCAGCCTTGTATTGGTAAAGCAGTTAGAAAATGGATGGATGTTTAGTGCTTATGTTAATGGATGGACAAGCTACAACTTTGAAAGAATAGGATTCTTCTGGCTGGGGTGAAGACAAGCACACCGAGACTCTCCTGGAACATGTTTTCCTTTATCATTTTCCAGAGGGCTAGGCCTAATATCTAAAAACACTTTTAGAAGAGCCCAGGCATCACAGATTCAGTCTGTGATCTGATAATCAGGCTGCCACTGTGTTCTCCAGCCAGGTGGTGCCTTATAACTTGTGTGTTGACAGGATTGGTGAGCTGAGGGAGGTGATGGAGGACATCATTTGGAAGCAGTGTGACTACGATCCAGCTTCAGGGGAGTGCTTTGACTTTGACAAGTAAGAGAGGGATTGTTTCTTAAAGTTTTAAAGAGGTATTTTTTTTTGTTCAAGGATTAATCAGTGATAGTCACTCCTAGTCTTGGAGAGGGTTGTGAACCGTTGACATTTTCATTACATCAGAGTTTTTTGTAATGTAACTGAATCAGTTATTGGCTTAAATCAGCTGAACTACCACCGTTTGTAGTATTTTGTGGTTGTTTACTTATGTAGCCTGCTAGCCCATGTTTATAAACGAACAAGTGTAATGACTACCGCTGTAGTCATTAATTCATGAGTAACGCATTTCAATAAGGCATTTGTCTCTACCTATAGCAACATGGATCCACCAGCTGCTTCCTCAGACACAGCGTTCGTTCTTGATCGGTTGTCGTACAAATCACCTTACTCTGACGAGCTGTTGGTGAGAGACCTCAGCCTGAAGGTCACTCAGGGCAATAGCCTGCTGGTGGTGGGGAATACAGGCACTGGGAAGACCTCCTTACTGCGGGTCCTCAACAGGCTGTGGGAGTCCTCTAGTGGTAAGAGGACTTCGTTGCCATAGTGATTTCAAATTCTGCTTTGCTGGATGAAAAAAGGAGCTTTGCTGAATTTGTAGTCATTCTTTTTATGTCGGATTACATGAAAACAGTACTTACAGTGGGTACCCCATTCCTCAGAAACAAAAACGTGAAATGCTTTCTTTTTTAAATTGAAAACTTTTTTTTTCAGCTTGGTCCCCTTGTCATGAGTCTGTAATGATTACCTTTCATATTGACGGTATTATTTGCTTTTCATACTGATGGTTAAAAAATGTATACACTGATTCCAGATCTTGTTAAATACTGTTAAACATTTTGTGTTATGTTTTTTTTAACCCTTAAATGAACAGAGCATAAGATCTAGATTAATCTTACCTAATTTGTGTCTCCTCAGAGACCTTAAACTAAATGTATCCCAGATATAAAATCTCACAAAATTTCAATATAGCACCAAAATACATTTGTGCCTATACAGTTTGAATCCTTAATTTGACATTAATCCAAAATTCCTTTGCTCCTTTTTCTTCTGTTAAAGGTTGGAGCGGAGCTAAAGTTAGGATCAGAATAAAACTTTTAATTTTCATATTATTGCTAAGGTTAAGGTTTGAGATTTTACCATGGCCATTATTGGAACTTAAGATTTACCAGTAAAGATCTGATTTTGGTTTACGTGGTTTTTGAGCAAGAAAACCTTCTTTCCACGATTCCATGATCAACATACTGTAGCTGTCGACATTTTCTTTATTCCTCTGCTTGACAATTCATATATGTTTTTCATTGGCACAAACCAGCTTTATATCTGGCTTTTCCAGGCTACCTTCAGATGAATGCATGTTTTGGGCCCCATGGGATACTTTTTCTACCTCAGAAGCCCTACCTGACAGATGGAACCCTGAGGGAGCAGGTACAGAGCTGAATGAACCCCACATCCCTATGAACAGCTTGAAATTGCACCACACATCTGTTTTCTTTAAACCCCTTGTGATGATCAACTTGAGAGAAGTCAGATTCTGTTGCTTGAGTGTTCCAAGACTTTGAAAATGGCCTGTGATCCACAGCAATTACTCTAAAACACATAAATCGTATTTTTTGTCGTAGGTAAGCACACTATCACCCTCTGTAGTGGAGTAGTTTACTGACCTGCTGAATTTGAGCATTTCCAAAAACACCGTATAGAAACTTGACATTTCTAGGAAAGGTAAACATTTCGTTTTTGTTCATTCATTTTTTAAAATAAATGTAATGGGATCTCTGCAATAGTAATGTGGTTCATATTTCATGTTTAGGTTTAGTGTAGTTGGTTAATTGTGATATTTCTTTATTGTTGAACAGGTCATCTATCCTTTGAAGAAGATATACCCTGTGACAGGTTTGTATGATTTTGTATTATATGTGTGTGAACGGAATGTATATAATAATTGCTTATTATTCTGATCAAAATAGTATCTTCTAGCACTTAATGACTG